CCTGTCTCATCACTGCCTATTTCCTTATCTTTTGTCAGCTCTGCCCACCACTATATCTCTGCCTGATACCTGGGAGGCTCTCAAATGCTGGCTGGATGTTTCCTGATTAGTTGGCATTTACTGTGGAGGAGAGTCTCTTGGCAAAGATGAGAGTAGTATTTCCAAAGGTCACAGGACTCAAAGATATGGAAGTGGGACACCACTTGGGGACCTTCACTAGGACCAGTCATGTACACATACCTGGCTAATCCCTGTGGGAGCCGAGGCTCTGGAAATCCAGGGATCTTGTGGAGTTACTTTGGGGATTCCCAGGAAAGGAACACAATTGCCCTGATACCTGAGGTGGGAGCCATGCAGAAGCCTTCCAACTCCCTGACAATTCTATGGCTCCAATGACCTCTCTTCTTACCACTGGACCAGCTCATTAACACAGATTAGAGGATAATACTTACCTTCCTCACATCTATGAGAGACTGACCTCCGTTAAAGACGCAGCAGAAAAAAAATTCTTAAATAAATAGGGCACTCACAAAACCACTGAAATGGTCAGTTGTGAAGTCTTTTATTATCTAAGCAATGAATTCATGCATATTGATCCTGAATGAATATTATAACTGCTGGGGAGTTGCTAGTCAGACATCCCTATCTTTAGCACCTGAGGATAAAGGAATCTGAGCTATCAGTGCTCAAGTCACTGTGGCTGAGGAAAGATTGCCCCATCCTTTCCATGCAGCTGGAGAAATGCCCATGTGTCCACATGCATTTATCACCTTCCCATCAACTCCAATCACAAAGGTGAACCTGAGATACTCAATTCTGAAGCATAGGACATTAATCCTATTTACAGCATTCTCTTCCGTTTACTCCTATCATATCAAATGGTTAACAATGTTGCTGCTGTCATGTCCCCAGAGGCCTGTGGATATACTACACAAGCATCATTCACAGGGCTGGGGTTCACTAGCTATGCTCTGATTGGTTCAGAACAGGGACCTGCTCTTGTACTCTAGCCAATCAGAAAGAACATCTCTCTCCATTCATAAAACATTACATAATAAAGATGATTAAAGAATTTAGTCTACCCTGGGGGAACCAAGGAACTGCAAACAGGGAGTAAAGAATAAATAAGATAGTAAATAAATCCTAAACTGCACATTTTGCTCCAGCAGACGTATCTCCCTCACATGTTAGATTTTTAGTGGTGGGGGAAAAACAAACCCAAACACAAGTGTTATTCACCATAAGCAGGAAACAGTTTGCAGGAAACTAGTCTGGGATTAAGATTTCACCTCTACAAACCCTCACCAAGTCCAACTCCACGCACAAGGAGCCCAACTATCTCCTCCTCATGGTCTGCTTCCCCAGCTGCACGAAAACAATCACTACCTGCCCTAGCTGGTTTGGCTCAGTGGATAGTGTCGGCCTGTAGAATGAAGAAGGGTCCCCGGTTCGATTCTGGTCAGGGCACATTCCCAGGTTGCGGGCTTGGTCCCCAGCAGGGAGCATGCAGGAGGCAGCCGATCAGTGATTCTCTCTCATCACTGATGTTTCTATCTCTCTCCCTCTCCCTTCCTCTCTGAAATCAATAAAAATACATTTTTTTTAAAAAAAAAAAAAGAATCACCACTATACAGGGTGTGGCAAAAGTAGGTTTACAGTTGTTTGTATGGCAAATACAATTAATAAATAATAAACTTTTGCATACTCACAACTGTAAACCTACTTATGCCTCATCCTGTATTTCAATTAGCAAGGCACTGTCTGCCTCCTTTACCACGAAACTTTGCTTCACACCTCCTCTCCCTTTTAAAGGCTACATCAAACTAAGATGACCACTCCAATGGAGGACTATCAAAGGTCAAGTTAAAAGGTGAACTTCAACAGGGCAGAGCCCTGGTCAGATTTGGCATCTAGAAACCATTCAATTTTGTTGAGAGGAAGAGTTCCCAATAATAATAAAGAACTTCTGACCACATCTCTCTCCTGCTGAGAGCCACTGCTGTTAGGATGAAGTCTAATCCCTCAGCATATTTCTGATCAGGATTCTCTGTGATTTGGCCCTTCTGGCCCTCTAGCTTCACCGGACTCTCCTCCTGGATCCAGCCATCCTGAACCTCGGGCAGCTCCCCCACATGACCTTTTTTCTCATTATTCTAAGATTCTGCACAGGTGATTCCCAGGCCTCAAACACTTATCCCGACCTGCCCTCCTTTGCCCAGCCAATTGTTACTTGGCCTTTCTGTGGTGCCTGGTAAATGCTTGCTCCGGTTAGGTTACCGTCCTGGGGGCCACTGTGGGAGCAATTGTGGCCTCCTGCACTGACCTCACAACAGCCGCTTGCGTGTCTTTTCAACATGTCAGCTTCCCAAGGAAAAGGACTGGGGTTTCTTGATCATGGTACTGTCCTCAGTGCCTGACCCAGAGTTAATTCCCAGGAAATATTTATTGAAGGACACAGACCTGGCAGGTTTAATCCAAGCAAACAACCTATACAACTCTTTGGTATGAAGAGCTAACCCACTCAGGTGAGGCCCAATGTACTTCTAAAGCTACAGAAAGTGAGGAGAACCCATAGGACCAGTACACACCCCACTACCCCTGCCCCTTCCCAGCCCATGTGCCAAGAATGGAGCTCTGAAAAACCCAACACAAATCCAAAGGCATGCCCAAACAAGAACTAGAGGCTGCTGCAATTCGGATGACCACCACATACAGATTTTTAGGTTTTCAGTGTGTTCTTTTATTTAAATAAATATCCTTTAAATGACTTGGGGCAGCATTAGCTCTGCAATATTAGAGGCTGTGGAGAGTGGCTTCAGTGTTTGGACAGGTTATGGTCCGAACCTGTGGTCCCACGTGGCTTAGTGATATAAGCTGCGGGAGGTGCAGCAAGTAAACAAAGCTTGATCAGGTGCATGTAATTGAGTAGATTTGAAACCCACGAGAACAAGAAGTTGTAACCACGCCCTTACTTTGCCTCGTGGAAGCTGGCTATAAAATAAAGACTCAGCTTACAGGCCGTGGCGCTGCCTCTCTATGAGACAGGGCAGCGTCCCACCCAGGCCTAGCTTTCTTCTCTTGTGTCTTTTCTTAATCCTTCACCGCTGCCTCTCAGCTCACCGAACCTGGCCGTGCTGGCGTGGCACAAGATACACGTATTTCAAGCCTCTCTCTGGGAAAGGAATGAGGGCCCTCCCCAAGTTCTGCCATCTCCAGGACCAGATGTGGCAGATTACGATGCACCACTCCCTGGCCATTTGCTATAGACCAAGCCAGTGACTTACCGTTGTGCAAGTGATGTTCTAGACCAGCGGTCGCCAATCTTTCGGGCCTCACGGACCACCCGAGGTCCGCAGACCACCGGCTGGCGACCGCTGTTCTAGACAACCCTCGAAGTTTAATAAAATGTGAACTATCCCTTCCTCATTTTGAAGGCCCTGCCTCAAACTACTTTCTGTCCTTTTTAATACCTTTATCACTACACAACGGGGACAGGTTAAAAAAAATGACAGGTTGGAGAGATTTCCCACTCTACTGAAACTTGTTTTGAGGGAAAATTTAAAGTCTTGATGGTGCTTATTTAAAGAAAAAATAGGTTTACAGATTATATATATATATATATAAAATAGTCTCTTGTGCAAGACTGAGATGCCACTGCCCGACTTTGGTTAGTTGTGTACAGGGGTATTGATTCCAGTTGCAGCATAAGGTGTCCATTTCGGAGCTAACAACTCCTCTGGCGGCAGAGTCCTCTCAAGGTGGCTTGCAGTAGCTGGATCCCACCTACCTTAGAATTGGAGCCTCCCACGCAAACCTAAAGCTGTTCAGAATTCCCCCGGGGCCCTGGAGCAGAGAGTCCCGGAACAAAGCACGGCCCCGCTCCCCCCTTTAACGGTAAAACCTCAAACCACAGAGGTGGAGGAAAAAGAGAAGCTAGCAGGGGTGCCCTCTAATTGCCTATTCTTATTGGCTGTTCATCAAATCATTAAAATCTTACAGGGACTTCACGGTCCTTATAATTACTGAATTCAGGGTTTGCCTCAGCTGGTTCTACAGAAAGCCTTTTCACTTTCAAACTCGGGAATGTCTCCCCTAACATCTTGTCTAAAAGAACCTTCCAGGCAATCAATCTATTCACAAGATCCTGGAGCGATCTGTGGCCGCTGCAGGAGTGGAGGTGGGGCGCGCCAGCCACACACCTGTTGTCAGGTGACCCGGCAGCAGCATCCTTAGAGCTCACCCCGAACCGAACCCCACCCCACCCCACCCCCCGCGCGTCTCTTCCCTCCGGGCCTCCTCTGCCAGGGGAGTCTGCAGCCTTCCGGAGTTACCTTTAAAACTCCCAACCGAACGCAAACAAAAGGCCCGATGCCCCGGCAAGAACAGCGGGGGTTCCGTGGCCCCGTTTCAGGCCAGTCTCTGGACACCCCTCTCTCTGCCCAGCCCGGCTCCAGTCCCGCGCGTGTCCTCCCAGCAGAGAGAGCCCGGCGCCTGCCTGCACCGCGGCTACCCGGGTCTCGGCCCGACTTATTGTGCTGGGGCCGGCAACTCGCGGGCCGGCGGGGCCTCACCGCGTCCAACTCCGCGCACCACCGGCCCTGGGCGCCCAGGCCCCGGCCGGCCAGCCGGCGCCGCAGGGCCTCCCCCGCCTCAGGCCGAGCCGTCTGCCCGCCAGCCCAGGGGAGGGTCGCTGGGAGAGGGGCCCCACGGTCTCCTCCGCACAAAAGCGCCCGCGCGCGGGCAGAAGGACGCGGTGGTGAGGAGTTGGCTTCCGGGTTTGCTTTCTGAACAAAACCAAAGGGAATCCCGCGCAGCCCCGGCACGGCCCGGGAAGGCGCCGTGCGCGCGAGGCCCCGTCGCGGGCCCGGTGGCTCGAGCCGGACCGGCGCCACCCGGTGCGCGCGAGGCCGGGCGGCTCCCAGGCACCCGCGGCCGGAAGAGCGCGAGCGGACCGGGCAGCCGGGACCGGGCGCGCGGCGAGGGCTCCGCGCGGCACTTACGGGCGGCTCGGCGGCGGCGGCAGCAAGGTGTTCGGTCCGTGCCCTCTGGGCCGCTCGCGCCTTTTTCTCTCCGCGCTCCGCACTGGCTGGCCCGCCCGCCCCCTCGCTTCCCGCCCGCACACCCCGCGCTCGCCCCCTCCGCCCGGCTCCGCTGCCGAGTGAACTGGAACCAGTCGCGGCGGCCCCAGGATTCCCACAATGCACAGCGCGCCGCTCGTCACATCCCATCCCGTCCGCGCGCGTCCGGCCACCCCGCCCGCGCCGCCCCGGCCTTGACCTCAGCCCCGCCGCCCCGCGCGCGCCGTCTCTCCTCGCTCGGCACCGAGGGCCTGGCGTCCGGCCCCCTGCCCTCAGGCACCGCGCGCCGAGGCTGGACGCCGGGCGCAGGTCCACCGAGCAGAGATGCCCTGGCAGAAGCGCTTCTCCAGCGCACGTCCCAGCCCGTGCGTCGCCCGTGGCACTTATTGAGCGCCTACTGTGTTCCCGGCCCTCAGCATGGGACTTTCGCTGCCTCTTCTCTGGAATCCTTCGCATTCACCCAGAGAAGGAGGCACAATTGCTGTTCCCACTTTTCCCTTCCCGCGCCCCTCAGAGCCCCCTCCTCCCCGCCGCTGCCTTTAGATAAAAGCCCCCCGAATGTTATGTCCTTTGACCAACTATCCTGCTTCATCACGACCCCCAGAAGTTTGGACCTCCTTTGCACGCGGGAGCCATTAGCTACTTCTTCCCGTGAGCGAACGTTCACAGTTGAGCCCAGTTGGGATTCACTAATGTAAACAGTGGGTCTTTAGCACCGCGCACTGTTTTAAAACGGCAGACAAGCAGAAAGAGGAGGGCCCCCTGTGAATTTCCGAGTTGGGTTTCTCTCCCGAAGGCGGTAGTGCCCTATCCTGGGTAAGGAGGGCCCTACCCCTACTCCACCTGCCCGAGGGTGGAGGGGAAGCCACCTGAGCACCTGGTTGTAGACCAAATTTAAATAACAGACACACCCAGCAGGGCTGATGTGCTGTTTACGGTACCGCCCCTCCCATCAAATCCCTCCGGCCCTCGGGCTGACTTCTAGCGCCGGGCGCTAACCTCTTCCCGTCACCAGGGTGCTTGGCACTGGACTTCGCGAAGCAGTGTCCAATCCATGCCGCTCGTGCATTCACTGGTTCAATTAGGTATGGAAGTCGTCCTTTGGGCCACGCACCAATGTGGGTGATTAAGGTAAAGCAGTGAACAGAACAGGCAACTTTCCCTGCCCTCCTGGAAGTTGCACTCTAGGGGGGAAAGAAACACAATCAGCAAAAGAGATGATGTGGGAGATGCTATAAATGCTGAGGAGAAAAACAAGGCAGGGATGGAGCATAGGGAGTGTGAAGTGAGATGGCGTTTCAAATGTTAGAGAAGACCTCCCTGACAAGGTGACATTTAAGCAAAGACCTGAAGGAATTAAGGGAGCAAGCCATGCGGATATCTGAGGGAGGAGTGTTCCAAGCATGCGGAACAACAGCAAGTGCAAAGGTCCTGGGGCATAGGAATAGTGTGTTCTCACCACAAAAAAACTAAGTGTTAATTATGTGACATGATGGCAGTGTTAACTAAAAGGGAAAATGATAAACATATTGCAATACGTAACCGTGTCAAGTCAACACGTTGTACACCTTACGCTTACAGTGTTATGTCAGTAATATTTTGATTTTTAAGAAAGGAATAGTGAGTGTGGGGTTGTTGGAATGGAATGAGTGAAGGGGAGTTATAGGAGATGAAACTGGGGAAATGATGATTCTTTATGTCCCAAAATAAAGCATTAAGGATCTGCGAGGACCTCCCCCCTCCCCCAGGGAAGTTGCAGAAGAATGTCAGAGGAAGGTGCAGAGACCACTGCCTTATTGCTATGTCCTTCCTTGGGTCCTTGAGCAGGCCCCTCAGTTCTGCAGGGGCCAGCCGCCAGGTGAAGTTTCTGTGGGCCACAGCAAGTCAGGAGGATGCTAGACTTCATTTATTCACTCAACTGATATTTGCTGAGCACCTACTGTGCGCCAGGCTCCTTCCCAGGGAGAGCAACATTCTAGGTGTGTTGTCAGGCCAGGCCTGTATGGAGAAGGGAAGATGCCTGCAGCCTTCTGGTGCCTTGGTGGTGGACAGGCCGGAGGCTTCTTTCCCAGGTCCTCAGTAATGGCCAAGGCCAGGCACAAAGGATGATTGTCCAATTAATGTCCGTCTGCAACCCCGGGGGGCCACGAAGGAGCTCACTCACCTCCTCCCCAGCACTGGTTTCTGATGGTGACTTAGAAGTAGGTAATGTTCAAAAGGCTGGTTTTGCTCTCCATCTTATTGTACACTCACCATGTACCGGGTCACATACATCCCATCATTCCTCCCTCTCAGCAGCCTCAGCAGGCAGGCGATTTCTGACACATTTCTATCCTCACTTTACAGATGAAGACACTACAGATTCGGAAAACCAAGAAATATACTTGACATCACAGAGAGGGCAGGCTGGTGCTAGGATTCAAACCCAGGTTCATCTGGGTCCTGCACTCTCATGGTTCAGAACTGAAGAGAGCCTTTCGAGCGGCCTGGCTTCCTCTGCACCCAGCATCCACCCTCACCCCCCACCTACCCCCCACTCAGCCATGCATCACTGTGCTTGGGTTAGAGTCCACACTCCCCCAAGAGCTGATCTTGATGCCCTGCCCACCCCCTCATGCCCCTCCTCAGTGTGCCATTCTCATAGAACTCTCTAGGAATATTGTCCCCTGGAGCTGTTCAATGCAGAGGCCCTTCTCCTGAAGGCTCCACCCTCCCATCCCCAACTCCCACCCCTCACCACCCGTGGGCCTTAGGTATATTTGCCTTCATGGGCCCCATCCTCCATTAAAAAACAAAAACACAACAAACAAAAAAACCTGCACTGGTAGTAAGGCAGGATAGTGAGAAGCTAGGAAAATTCCTTGGCAAGTAGAATGGGGAAATTGAGACAGAGCTGAACAAACCGGCAGAGCAATTTACAGCAGACACAGAAGGTCACTCCCTAAAGTTAACATCTAGGCCTACATTGCATTTCAGCTCCAGGCCTAGAAAAGTAGCAAAACCAGATGGATGACACCAGAACCAGCTGCAATGAGTAATTACCCCCTGCCCTAACATTGACCAATAAGTAGCGACCACGACCCTGAAAGAGCACACCTAGAAAACATGAATATGCTGCTGAAACACTCCCCTGAGACCTCCCTTAAGATTTCCACCCACAAGAGAGAGAGAAAAACCCTCCAGACAAAGGACCCAGTGCCTGTTCTTCCCTCTGGGGAAGCACACCATGCCTTCCCCGCCCCCCTTGCTTCCCCCACAGGCACACATCGCCTAAACTCTAAGGGACCCCAGGAGACTGGGACTAGGGGAGCAGTAGGCAGTGACAGCTTGTCCCAGACTAACCCCCTGAACCTGTCTCCAACGCCCCCTTTTCTCTGACTTCCAGTGAGCTAAGGCAGCCCAGCCTAGGCTCTCCTGCTGCTTCTTCTGTGCTAAGCCCTTCCTTGTTTCACTGTCCTCAGCTTTAATAAATGTTCCCACATAGTCACATGTTGTGAAATATTTCCTACACTAAGTCAACAACACACACACCACCAGCTGGCCCTAGGCAGGCCTGCTCACCGCAAGGTTCCCTGTCTGGTAACCCTTTTAGATCAAATAAAATAATTTAATTAAATTAATATATTTGTCTTTATACCAATGCAGTCACAAAATGTAATTTTTATGTCATGTTATAGAGGAAAGGGCTCACAAAGGTACAAGTTCTAGGGCCCACAAAAGTGTTAACATAGCCTTGCCATTTCAAGTGAAAATGACGTTGGGTGACGAAAGTAGGACCTTTAGCCCACAATGCAATCACAACAAATGCTTTTCCTCAGGGCAGCCATCCTACTTGTTACATAGCAGAAGTACTCCATGCATACTTCCCATGTGCTCACATAGAATATTTAAAAATGTGTCCAAGATTAATAAAATTAATTCTTTCTACTGCTTTATCCAAGACATTCTGAGGGAAACTGTTGGATTTTTTTTCTTCTGCAAGTGCTTGGAAATAAAGACTAAAATGATTATTAGTCCACTTTGGTGCCAGTGCTGATCTGTGCCAGTTCACCAGCAGTTTTTTTCCACTTTTGTTTTTGCACGATTGCTGCAAAGACACAGACCATGAAAAAGCTAAGTAATGTCTTAGCATTATTGTGAACATTTTGGACCATGTGGATCCCAGAAAGGGTTTCAGTGACCTTGGAGGGTCCTCGGACCCCATTTTGGGAACCACTTTTCCAAACATCCTGGGGCTGTACCATCATTTATTCAACCAGTTCCCTGTCGTTGTTTTTCTTTCAGGCTATTTCCAGTTCTATTATAAAGACCTGATGAATATTCTTAGAGTTACACATTTGTGGATATCTGATGTTGACTGTTGAGGATAAGTTCTTAGAAGTAGAACTGCTGGATCAAAGTTTAAAAGCTTTAACACAACTCCCCACCCTCACCCCGCCTGAAAAGTCAGGGCAAGACAAGGCCAGTGGGCAGGGAAGGCCCCAGTATTCCTGCATTTCTCCAGCGCCTCTGCCTCACCCTGAGTGATGTTCGAGACCTTTGATGATCTGAGAGCCCAACAGTGAGGTGTCACCATGTCCCTTGGTTTAGCTTGAACGTGTTTGTGGAAGGGCAGGGAATGGGTCTCCAGTTAGTTCCTAAGCTTTGATCAACACACATCAAGCCAAGAGGAATGAGTCTGTGTGAGGCAGTTGGGGGATTCCAGGAAAGAAAGCCCCTGGTAAACCTTTCCCTACCATCCCTGCCTCACAAACCAACAGACGTGTTCTTTTCCACAGACGCTTAGGTCATCTCAACAGGTGCAGCCTTTCTTCCAGACTTGATTACTTCAGAGATAAGTTCTTTCTCTTTGACATACAATTGGCTGAAACATCTGACATCTGACACTTCCTCCTTCTCAACAACCCCCAACTTCTCCCTTCTTTGTTAAGCAGTTAATGCCCTTCTCTGGAGAAGAGCAGGTGAATGTTTACCCTTGATGAGGAATAACAAAGGAACCAAGGAAACCAATCCTAGGGAGTATGTAGGAAGAAGGAGGGTCTGCATTACGATTTTCAGGCCTAGAGGCACCTCTAGATTGA